CTCGGTCTTTCATCACTGGACATTGACGGTGTTCGCAGAGTCTGCCTTAGATACCTTCACGCGCCCCCGCCCGCTTGTTCGTCTAGAGACAGGATTGCTGTGTCAAAGAACATGCCCGGTTTCCAGCTTCGGATGGAGGTCGGCAAACTGTCTTCCGGAAGTCTACCGAATGACATTTCCATTCCTTTGCTCCGTTAGAAATGCTCTGTCCTGTTACAGAACCAGTACATGTTAAAGCCTGATGGACGCGGAGAAGCCACAAATGCAGGGAGCGTGACGAGCTCTCGGGTCCCCTGGGCCGCCTCTGGGGTGAACGCTCCCCATACCTGCCCAGGTGGGTGCCCCAGTCAGACTTCGCTGTGACCCCCAAGCTGTGTGGCTTTGGACAAGTTCCTTAACATCTGCAGGCTCCTGTGTCCTCACTTAGAAACTGATGATGGCAATAGCGAGTGTCACAGGCTGTCACACTGTCATGAGGACCAGTGACAAGCATCAGCCCCGTGCCCGGCTGGACTCCTCAGGCTCTGTCTGTGTCTACCCCCCACCCCGAGCTCAGTGGCACCCACAGCCTCCCTGTCAACCTCGGCCTGCAGCTCCAGCCTCAGACCGTCACCGCCACGCACGGTATTGTGCTGGTGCCGAGTTTCCATTGGTCCCAACCACCCTGCTTACAGGACCCTGCTCCCCACCTGCCTGTCCCCACCTCAGTCACTGTCATCTGTCCTCCGAGGCACCCAGACAACTAGAAAGCCTCCCTCCTCTTCCCACCATTAACTGGCTTTCAGTCATTCTGTTTTCCACCGTATAGAGTGTGGCTGAAATACAAGGCCTGCTGCTACACCCTGCACAGCCATGGGCCCTTTCTTCCCAGGCCTCTCTGAGCCTCAGTTTCTCCATCTGTAAGATGGGGTGATAGTAGACCAGCTACTCAGGGCTCTGGGTCTAGTGTGAAGTGAGATGGCTCGCCCAGGTGCTCCGCGCCATGCCTAGCACAGTGACCATTGCTGTCCATCCCGCACACTCCGGCCTTTGCCGTGCTCCCAGCCCAGCTCCAGTCCCCCAGCACAGCCACACTGGTCCTGACTGCATCAGCTGCTCTCAGGCCAAATTTCGACGTGTGGCCACGGCAGGTCTGGAGCTTGCCACTCCGCTTGACTCTCGATGGCTCACAACCGCCTGCGCCCCACCCACCGGCTTCCTCCTGCCTCTCCCGGCGCCACGGCAACCGCCCCGTCTGCCTGTTCTGTTCTTCCCCACCCCCTCTCTGTGAGGCCCCACCACCCGCAGACCCTGTGTCTAGTGTCCCAGCCGTCTCCCAGCCCAGCTCAGAGCCCCTACTTGGAGCGCCCGGCACTGCAGGACAGGGAGGGCCCAGGCCCCCTGGGACGCCGACCCTTCTGGACAGCAGATGCTCACTTTGTTCGCCTCTGCACCCACCTGCCCCAGCCCCCAGCTCCCCTCCGCATACCCTCAGTGTTCATTTGTGAACTGCACTGTTCATAAATAATGTCCTGCCGGGGTTTAGACGCACAAAAGCCTGCCCCCGGGCCAAAGGCTGGCCGAGATTGTCCCCTTTCCCGTGACTGCTGCTGAGACCAGGACAGAAACTCTCAAGGCCTCACTGAGCCCACAGGCCCGCAGACGCCTGTGATGGGGCTGGGTCCTGCCCGTCGCAGTGCGGCTTTTCCAGGGCGAGGAGAGGAGCGTAGGAAGGGCATGACGTGTGTCTCTCTTGTCCCCTGAAAGGCAAGAGGGCACTGCCCGCTGCCTGCCCGGCGCCCCTCTGGGCAGGCTAACTGGGCGCCCTCCACGGAGAGGGGTGGGGCCCTGGCGCCGCCCTCTCTCCCCTAAAGGCATGTAAGTTTCAAATAAATCTGTTGGGTCCTGTTTGGACAGATGATGCAACGTGACTAGAGAGGAAGTGGGGAGTGGCCTTCCGACTACACGCTGAGGAATGTCATGTCGCTGGAGTGTTCTGCACATTCCCAGAAACGTCTTGGCTGACAAGCCGGCGATGACTCAGTGTTCTCTGGGCGGCCCAGGCGGTGCGGACAGGGGTGGGGGGGAGGGTGGAAAGCGCACCCCCCTGCGTCTGGGGGCTGCCGCAGCGCTGGGTGTGGACACCCATGGAGTGACCACACCACGGTTTCCCTAAGGCCGGAATAAGGGGGCCTTCACGTGCACTCTTGGCTGTCCAGAGGTGCCCGCCCCGCCCCCGAATGTGGCTGTGGCTTGGGGATTCCGCTCTGCAGAAGGTGGCGGTGAGGGGTCCCTGTGCTCGGAACACATTCCTGGGATGAAATTCCTCTCCACGTTTCAGAATCCTGGGGGCTTTAGTCCACCTTGGCTCTTCCTTCCTGGCCTTCATATCTTCCCCCTCCTTCATTCTCCAGTTTAAGCCTCTTTTCTAGTAGAAAGACCTGGAAAATTATGTCAAGGGCAAGAATTTGGCAAGCGTGTCCGAAGACGAAGCACGTGGTCTACAGCGGTTGCCTGGTGTTCCAGAGGGCAGCACCTGTCTCTCCCCACCCACCTCCGGGCGCCCGGCCACGGGGCTAATGAGCCGTGGCCAGCCTGCAGGGCCCCAGCCCTGGGCCTCCCGCCTCCCGCAGCCCCCGTGCACCCACCCTTGCAGAGGGCCCCCTCCTGCCAGCCTGGCAGCACTTACTTTTCCAAGACCAATAGCCCAAAGCAACCCTGACCTGTGGACACTCCCCAGCCTTTATTTCCAAACGCGCATTCACTCACTTGGTAGAGAGAAAACTCAGATTCCCCCAGGGTCGCTAAGAAGAACCTCACATCCACCGGGGGCAAGGGAGTGCCACACCTGCTCAGGACCCCACCCCCACCCAAGCTTCTCCCTGAACACAGATGGACGGATGGGCTTGTGAAGAGGAGTCTGGGGGAGGCGGGGCGGGTGGGCGCCGGGGCTCCCCGCCCCGTGGGCCGCGTATCTCGGCATCTCCTGAGCGCGTTCTCACTGAAACTGTCTGCACTCGTGACTCAGTGCTGTTTGGCAAACTGGTGAAGAGGCAGCTCTCCCTGTGCCCCCCGCCCGGGCCTGCATGGGAGGCGGTGGGGTGGAGGCCGCAGGCAGCCGGCTGTGAGTTCGCGTGTTAACCTCCCTGGGCTTCACCCTGCACCCCGAAGACCAGGGGTGACCCCAGCGCCCGTCCCTCGGGTTGGGGCCAGGGCCAAATCGCTCCCTGTGTTTGTGAAGTGCCTGGAACCGTGCCCGGCGCATCCCGTGCCTGCCCTGGGGCACTGTCCTTACCATGTGGTGCTTTCGGGCAGGGCCTCGCCGTCACAGGCCTTTGTGGGGTTTCCGGGGGTTAAATCCCACGGCGCCACCAGCACTGGGTGTCAAACGCCGACAGAGCCCAGCAGAGAGCGGTCCCCGAGTCCAGGGGAGGCTCCGAAGGCACAGAAAGGAAGGTCAGAAGATGTTGCCTTCGGTGGTTCCCCAGTGACCGGCTCAGACGAATGCGGGAGAGTTTCCTGCATCTTGAAGGAGATGCTCCTCTGTGGGCGAACTCGGCTTTGAGAAACTGCAGGACTCGCCTTCTAACATGAGAATTCTTTTCTTAAATCTTCACCTGAGGTCACATTTATGGATTTTAGAGAGAGAGGAAGGGAGAGAGAGGAACCTCGATCGGTTGCCTCCCAGATGACCCGACCAGGGATCGAACCTGCAGTCTAGGTATGTGCTGTGACCAGGGATCGAACCTGCAACTTTTTGGTGTACAGGATGACGCTCCAACCAACTGAGCCACTGGGCCAGGGCCTGAGAATTCTTCCAGACACCAGCCAAGGTAGGGTCCACTCCGAACCTTCCAGTTGGTGAAAGATTAGGGTCGTGAAAGGCGTGACCAAAGGCTGCGGGTGAGGAAGGTCGACACGCAAGTTGCATCCCCGCCTGGCCTGAGTCTTGGTCACCCTGGGGACACTGAAGAGGTGGAGACTGGCCGCCTACCTCCTGCCAGGCCCTGGTTTCTGGGCAGGCGACAGTGCAGACGCCCAGGACCCTCACTGCCCCGCAGGGTGTCATGAGAGAGCCTGGCCAGGCTCAGGCCTTCAGGCACCAGTAGTTTAGAGTTTTGTGTGTGACCAAGCAGGACAAGGGGTGTCCCCACCCCCCATCCAGAGGCCGCGTGGAGTGGTGGCGTGAGCCCCCCTGGGTCCCCACAGCCCTGGGGCTTGGCCACCAGAGCCCTCGGCCAGCATCAGCATCGCCCCTCCAAGCCTGGCCGCCCCACCGTGAGAAGAGATCAGGCACCACGCCTTTCAAGGTCTTTTCTCTCTAAAAATGATTCCCACGAGAGTATGCAAAGGCCTGTTCTCTGCTTCTGAAAGCTCAGCACAGTAGTTAACACGGGATCCTCCCATTTCGGGACAACAAAAACGTTCTGTAATTCTCTGTGCTGGGGAGCCAAGGGAAGGGGCCTGTGTTTGAGGCGCCCCCAGGTTCTGTGGCCCAGGCCCATGGTCTGAGGAATTTCGTGGCACCTCAGATCCCAGGCAGCAAAGGGAGAGGCCACTAAACATGCCCTCAGCTCTTGGCCAGGGCAGAGGAAGAGAGGCGGTGAGTAAATCAGGACTACGTAAAATCGCCAAGACCCTCTGCGTGACAGTTTTCACGCTCTCTCGGAAATTTCAATAGGCTGAAGCCTCCCGTTCCAGATCACAACCTCTGTCCGTCCAAAGTTGCGCCAAAGAGGAAATGCCCACCCTGCTCCAAGTGCTGGGTGTCACAAAACTCCTGGCAAGGGCTTCCTCAGAACACCGCAGCCCAGCCGCCCCAGGAAGGTCCCTGCTGGGCTTGCAACAAGCCCCTGGGCCTGTCCAAACCGGGGTGGGGACAGTGACACACGGCTGAGGACCAAGACCTTCTTCTCATCCCAAATCTCTGACGGACGATTCCCACCCACAGGAAGACTCATATTCAAAAGCCCCTGGCATTGCTTTCGCTTTTCTCGAAAGTGGAACACAGAGTCTGAGAAATCAGTGTTTCCCCCATGTGCAGTGTTTCACTGGGTTTGGAAACTCAGGACGGAAAGTTCGTGGACACGTGGGGACCTGCCAGGCTTGCCTGTGAGACTCCCACACAGGGACCTGTCTTTGCTACACGTAAGGCTGCTTTTAGCTGTGCTCTTGGCAAGGGCTGTGGACGACACAGAGGCTGCCTGTGTGTCCATCGGGTGTCCCTCCAGTTTGCTGAGTTACCCTGTGTTTAAAAATTCTCACCTGGGGATATTTTATTGTTGATTTTGGAGACAGACAGACGGAGAGAGACATCAGTGCAAGAGAGAAACATTGACTCGTTGCCTCCCGCAGGTGCCCTGACCAGGAATCGAACCCGCAACCTCTCGGTGCACAGGACGATTCCCTGAGCAGCTGAGCCCCCCGGCCAGGGCACGAGTTCCCCTGTGTTACAGAGGTGTTACAGTCCTTTGCTTTGTCACGTGCCGGAGCCTGGTATTCTAAAAACAACTCTCTGGGTACCAGGGAGCAGAACCATGTTTGGGGACAGAGACCAGCTGGAACGTCAGAAATGCTGGCATTTCAGACGGAGGCTGCCCAGGAAGAGGGCCAGACAGCTGTGGGGAGAGAACACAGGGACAGACAAGCATCGGGAAAATGAACAAAAGCCTGCGAGGACTGTGTCATAACGACGGATGCTTAACGTGGTGAAAAGCACACAAACTGTTACAACTTCTGGTCCAAACTGTTGCCCAAGACCGTGACGTGACCACTGAAGGCATTTCCTGCTCTGAGAGGCTTCGGCTGCAAGTCCAAGGGGACTTGAAGGGAAGAGAAAAGACAGAATCTCCCGTTTCCACCCTCAGAAAGCTCTCGTTTTCAGCAGGTGCAGCCATCTGGGACCAATGTTTGATGGAGAGCGAGAAGCCACTCTCCTCTCGTCAAAGCTGCGACTGGTGAGACCCCAAAGCTTGCCAGGCTGGGAAGGGGCAGCCCATCCGGGACCGAGACACCCACCTCCACCGACACGTTCGGGAAGAGTGACTGACCCATGCGGGACACCAGTTTGCCCAAGCGTGAAGTCAGAAGGAGCATTTCAACCCCTGTCATGGAATCGCTGCACAGAACACCCAACCATGGCCAGGTAATGCTGGAGGAGCACTTTGCACGGAGCCAATTCACATCAGTACTTAAGATGGCCCGGCCCCCGGCTGCCTGCTTGGTGACGAGGTGCAGGCTCCAGGCCACTTCACCTGATGGGACTCCGTGGTCGTGGTGCTTGTTCGTGTCTCATGGGGGGGACTCCGTGAGGTAAGAGCCCAAGGAAACCAGAACGCACCTCAAGCAGGAGCTTGAACTTGCAAGGCGTGGTGCTGAGTTGAGAGGCCAGGCTCCTCCGTTCTGTCCCTTAGCCTGGGACAGAAAAGTTGTTTTGTTTTTTTTTTTACATGTAGGCAGCCAAAGGAAGGCAAAGGAAATTGCACATGACCTTCTGCCCTGAAGAGTTGAGGTATGCCAAATTTTATCCAAGTTGCTACTTTCCTGAGGAGGGGCAACTATTAGACCCCCGGAGAGGGAATCACCTTGGTGAGACAGAAAAGTCTTTACTTTATTCCACACACATTTCCCTCCTTCCTTGGGCGTCAATCACCACCTTTCACAGCTAGAAGGCATCTTAGGGATATTCTAGTCATTTCTCATGTTACAAACAGCAGGTCCCGATATCGAGTGTTCTGACTCAGAGCACGTCCAAGGGAGCCACCGAGTGCCACCCAGCCGTATCCTAGGGCAGCAGCCGACTCCTGCAGGAGAGCATCGTTCCAAGGACAGGGTGCCAATGTGCAGGGCGCCTTCCAGGCCAGCAGCCGCAGAGCTGCACCCTGGGCGGGGCTCGGTCAGTGAGGGGAGAGGCGGACGTCAGCCTCGTGCAGCGTGGGTACGCTGGGGCCCGCACCAGAGTCTTCGACCCACTGCGTGAACAACACGCGTGAGAAGCGTGAGCCACTGGTCCTGGGGGCAAGAGACCCAGGCTCCAGGCCCAGGTTCCAAGGCTCGCCTTCTTGTCACCACCCCCTTAGCTGTGATGACAAGGACGCGGTGTCCGGGGCAGGTGACCCGGGCGAGGACACAGCCTCAGGAAAGGGTCTGGGGTGGATTCCTGAAACTGCACCTGAGTTCAAAGGAGCAGGGCAGGAGGCCGCGTCGCAGACCCGGGGCAGCAGGCAGGCAGAGCGCACCGCATGGCCACACTGGCGCCGCAGGCCCCGGTGCCCAAGCGTCCCTTGTCCACTGTCCTGAGTGTACCCAGCCCGCTGCCTCGGTAATGGATGGTGGCTGGAGTCTGGGATCTGGCAGCCCCACTGACTTCTAACAGCACACGTCATGCTGGGTCAACGGCCTCATACGGCTCCTGTTAGCCGCAACAGCTGCTCCTGGGTGGGGTGTGGAACCCCGGGGCCCCTGGTGATCGGAGCCACGTCGCAGGACACAGTGGCTGCAAACAGGGCAGCCACACTGCCTGGCTTTCCCTCACCAGCCCTGTCAGCTCGGATGATTCGCAGGGGCCGCTGCTTGCCTGAGTTTCCCCAGCTGTAAAGTGAAGGATCCACAGGCCGTCGCAGTGCCCCTCCTGGGGGGCTGTGCGAGCCCCAGACAAGTGCTCAGAGCTGTGCCGGGCACGCGGTCGGCGCTCCCAAGTGGGCAGCTGCCACTGCTTTCTGTCCTCATCTGTCACGGCGCGGGGCAACGCTCCCCCGAAGGGACCTCACCGGGACAGCCTCCAGGCCAGGGACATGCCGTCTTCTGAGTCAGGCGGTTCCATGTTTGGATGCTCTGACTAAGAAAATTCTCCCCTTGTGCTCAGCCAAATCCACCACCCTGCAACTCCTCCTCGCTGGCCCCTGCGCTGCCAGGAGACAAATGTCAAAAACACAGCCTTGAGCCCTGGCTGGCGTGGCTCAGTGGACTGAGTGTGGGCCTGTGAAGCAAAGGGTTGCCAGTTCCATTCCTGGTCAGGGCATGTGCCTGGGTTGTGGGCCAGGTCCCTGGTGCGGGGGGCACACGAGAGGCAACCACACACTGATGTTTCTCTCCCTCTCTTCCTCCCCTCTGTCTAAAACTAAAATCTTAAAAAAAAATCAAAACAGGTGTGAAAGAGAGGACCCCAAATGTGAATAGCGATGATGGAATTGGGTCGGGGAGCTACAGTCCCCTCACAGCAGCCGGCCACGCCCTCTGCCCGCAGCCCCGCATGGATGGGGCCGAAGGCACAGCCCTTGGGGTCAAACCTGAAACCCCACGCGAGTTCTCGGTGCCTCTCTGCCTTCTTTAGAAAGGCCTGGAGCAGCGTCCCCCTCCATCCGTCTCAGACCTCGTGTGCTGTCAGACCACCGTGAGAACGAGGGAAAAGCCACCCGTGTGTGCAAAGGTGACAGTCACAGGGCTGCAGAGCCATGACCTCCCTCCCTCACTACGTGCCGTCCAGCCTGTAATCACTGCCCACAGGGAGGGTGCCCAAGAGGCCGTGGCACCCAGGGACCTCCTGTGTACAGAGCCTCTCTGGCGTCAGGCACAGGGGCACGGCCCCTGGGTCCCGTCCCTGCCCTCCGTGACACACACCGTTGACAGGGGAGGAACGCGCACAGCTCCTTCGACATGGAGGTGACAGCTCAGTGCTCCAGTGGCTCTTGCGGAAAAGTATGTGAAACAGGTTTTTGTTTCAGCGTCGAGAACAAGAGAACGCGCACGTCCACCCAGCTGCCTTACGATTTGTGTGCTTTTAACGTAATGCCCGCCTTCATCAAAATATTTACATACAAGTGATAACAAAGGAAAGAGCCGCGTAGTTGTACAAGATTATCCCTGAGTTGGCAAGAGTCTATTTCTGCATGTTTGCAATTCTTCAAAATAGAAATATAGAGGTGCATAAATGTGGCCAATGTCAGAGAGAATGATTAGACCCCTCTCAAGTGCAAATCCATTACAACTCAGGACACGCGTGTGGCTCCTCCGGCTGCTTCAGGGCGGGAGTGAGTTTGGGCCACAGCACTGCGTGCTCTGACCACCCGTGGGGCAAGGTGGGGCGACTTCAGCCACGTCAGGACACTTTTGCTCCTTGTCTAGAAGCCCGAACAAAGAGAAGGGGCCCCATCCTTGGTCTGAGGCAGCCCAGGTGTCCCGCTCCCCATCGCTGCAGGCCGTGGGGGTCCCAGCTCTCGTGGGCTCTCCAAGGACTCAACTCCAGAGAGACACACACGCCCCTCTCACTGTCAAGTGCAACCCCCTCCTTCCCAACCAGGGCCCTCTCTGCACCCCCAGTCACTCCCCAAAGCCCTGCACTTCCAGGGGAACAGAGAAGCTTTCTGCCAAATTGTCCCTCCCTCCCCAAAGGGACAATCCAATTAATCTCCCTCCACAGCCTATAAAAAAAGCTTTGTACCTCCCTCCCTTTCTCCTTTTAGAAGCTCAGACCTCTCAAAGTCTGCAAGGGGGTTGGAATGAAATGATCTGCACTTCCCCATGCCTCCACCAGGGCGGAGCCAAAACAGACAAACACCCAGGAAGTGACCCCAGCTTTTCCTTAATCCCACCCCCACTACAAGTCCCATTAGCTAAGACTGTCATGCTCAGAAGTCCACGTGATTATTCCATCTCTGGGTTCCCAGTGACAATCATGATCACCCGGTGTCGGGCCTGGGGTAGGTGCCCGGTTAGGGCTGGTGATGGACAGGCAGGGCAGCTGGCTTGTGCTAGTTCACAAGCCAGAGAGGAAAAATTACATTTGAGACCCGATTTGCATTCCCCGTGATTCAAATGCTAACTGGTGTCACACCGCGTCCTCTCCCGGGCAGCCCTGCATCCCTTGAAATCGGGGAACCAGAACCACTGGAGTGGCCAACGGCCTCCTCTGAGCCGGTGTGGCCTTCCCTCCCGGCCCCCGCTGCTGCCTCCAGGGCTGTCCTGGGATGACTGGGTCGCCTGGGAGCCCCGCAGCCTCTGGCTCACGGGCTGCTTCTCATCAACTGCTGCTCTCCCTCCTCCCTGCACTGGACCTTCCAAAGGTCCTGGCCTTGGCCCCGCCTCCTGCCACCTCCCAGGTCAGTCACAACCACTCCCAGTTTACCCAGGGCTCAGACTCCCCCTGAATCAACAGGGACCCTGACTCAGCGGGTGGGAGGGCGTCCTGGGCACCCAGACCCTCTGCCCTGGGGCCCTGGCCCCACCACCTCGCTGCCCACCCCTGGCCCAACCCCAGCTCCCAGACCACAGGAAGTTCCTGGGAGACACGGGCCTGGCCATGCCCCGAGGTCATACTCACCCTCACTTTGCTCCCTAGCAACCCCCCACCCAGCTCCTACTACGTAAGAGGCCTTTTATTCAGCCCCCCATACCCCTCCATTCTCTCAGAATACCCCGAATGGGACAGGGAAACTGCCTCCTAGAGTGGACGCCCAGTGTGGCCCTCCAGTGACCAGCAAGTGGCCGCCCCTCTGTCATTGCTTCTTGCCTCCAGTTCCACAGGAAGGTGCTGCTCACTGTCCCTCCCGGAGGCCCTGCCCTCACCTGCCCAGACTCTTTGCTGGATCTCAGCTCTCCAGTCTCCTACCGATGTGGCCTTGATCTCACTGAGAAAGGAGAAAAGGAGGCGAGGGAGGGAGGGGGGAGGGGAGGAGGGAGGGGAAGTCTGGGTCCTTCCAGCACTTCTACCCCAGAGTGCACTCAGCCATTCACCTGGCTTCAACTTTCGTCTCTAGGACAGTGACTTTGAACCCCTCTCTCCATCCAGTTTGGTGACTTGGGCCAGTCCTGCGTGAAGATGCTCAGCACAGCCCACCTCTTGGGTGCTGCCCGGTGAAGTGTAATTCACGGCCCAAGTTAACCTTCCCCTTCCTCCCTGCCCAGGGCCACCCACTGGCCTCCTGAGGCTCCAGCTCTTCCCTCTGCAAGTTGCTGTCCTGTCTTCTCCTTCTTCCTTTGACTGTTCCCCTCCCTCTCCTGCTCCTGACCTTACCTGGGGGCTGGTACCGTGTCCTCTGGCCAGGGATCCTGGTCCCCAGTCTTCGTACCTCCCTACAGCCACACCTGGGACCTGCCCAATTCTCCTATAACGCTCCAACCAGTCACTGCTTTCTCCTCTCCACTTTCCCTCCTGAGTGTTTGTTTTAACTTCAGGCTTTGCCCGCGTCCTTGGAAGCAAGCGCAGATCCTGATTTGAACCTGGAGCGGCCCACTTGGTGCCTGGCTGGACGCGCAGCAGTGAAAGTGCAACAGACACCAAAGTGACTGATTGGTTTTTCCTGGTTTCTGAGTAGTAATTCAGTTGTACCAAAAGAAGTGCTCGCGCTCACCTCACCTATTTGGAGTACAGTACAAGGGACTAACAGGACCAGAGCAGGACCCCAGGGCCTGCTCGGGTCCCTCCCTGGATGCTCCCCCACCCACGTCAGAGGCTGGCGCTCTGCTGGAGCCAGCGCCGGAGGAATGGAAGGGCGACTCTGGGAAGCTGTGCTTTCCCATCTCTCACCAAAAGGATTTCAAAAATTGTGACGCTGCTTTTGGAATATATGTTCATTCCAGCAGATGTTCCAAAGCTTCACCCTCATCGAAACACCCTGGTAATCGTTTGCCGCCTCTTAGTTTTCTCTTTCCCAACCCAGGAAGCATGTTCTCGATATCACAGCAAAGGGCGATGGGTTCTATTTCTAGCTGCTTCAAAAACAAGGCGAGTGGCCCAGTCACTGTCCAAACAAGGGCAGGGCTGGGTGGCTAAGCCTCCTGTGTAAGGTCACCACAACCAAACGTCTCACAAACCCCAGGCCCCAAACGTAATTCCTTCTTTCTCGATATTTCATCAGTTCAGGCCATTAAAGAGAGAGAATGAGGTAATGCCGAACAAATGCCAAGCAGCCTTTTCGAGAAGCGACAGCAAACATGGGCAGAGTGCCTGGGCCCGGTTTGCTCGGGCAAACACTCAGAGATCTGTCATCGTCTGAGTCTTCGTCACCGACGCTGCTCACGAACAGGGTTGGGAGGGGCTCTGAAGCCCCCAAACCTCAAAGCTCTGTGCTTGGAGCCCACCCAAGACGTGTGCGCTGGAGACGCCGTCTCCTTGGGCAAACAGGTACCGAAACACGCATGACCGCCCAGAACCACGGTGTGCTACCAGCGGATGCGTGGATAAGGAAGGTCTACCACACAATGGAATATTTAGCATAAACGGAATGAGGTGCCGACACATGCGACAACACGGATGAATTCGGAAAACATCGTGCTTAGTGAAGCAGCAAAAAGATAGGAAGGACCACATACAGGCTGTCCAGAACGGCAAACGCACCGAGGCGGGAAGTGGCCTAACGGTCGCCCAGGGCTGGAACAGGTGGGGGTATGCGGGTGAGAGCTGGTGGGCGCTCTGGTTTCTTCGAGTTGATAAAATGCTCCAAAACTGATTGTGATCGCGGTTGCACAACTCTGCAAATACACTGAAAACCACTGATTTGTGTACTTTGAGTGGGTGACTTCAATGGCATGTAAATTACATCTCAGCAAAGCTGTTACACATCTACTTATCTGTGTCCAGGCTTAGGAAAATCTCTGGTATTTTAAATCAGAATGTTAACGGTGGTTGCCTGTCAGTGCGGGATTCCCTTACCTCCCCATTTGCACACCTCCTTGTGTCTTTGGGCCACACTGGCCAGCGCCACCTCCTCCCGTCTTTGGAAACACACACTTTGCTTCTGTGGGGTCAGAGAAACAGGACATGTCTCTTCCGTGTTTGGGGACTACTTTTGAGCCCTCGGGTCTGAGGACTCCTCCAGGCGGGGCCCCTTTCCCCACCACATCAGACGGATCCCCAAGTTCACTCTACAGCTTTCCGTGAAAATACCGATAATTTTGCCTCTGACGCGGTCAGTCCACAGAAAGCTGATGCAGGGCTGTCTCCGCCTTCCTCGGCGATCTTCCTGCAGCCCTGGAAATTTGTGCAACGTGACGAGATGTTCATGAATTGTGAACTGGTAGTGTTGCTGTGATGTGACATTTCATAGATATTGAAACATTCATTTTGTTTTGGGGGGATTTTTAAAAATTTCGTAGCCAGTACAAGTTTTCAGGTTCTCAATATTTTGGTAGGCCCAAGGCCTCGGGTTACCTAGGGCAGGGGTCCTCTCCACCTTGTCATCGGGGGTCATGTCCACTTGCCCACTTACCCCCCTCCCCGCACCTACCACGGTGCCTGGCAAACAATCGGAGCTCAGCTTGTAGGCATCTTAATCCCATGCTCTTTGCTTTCCTACCGGGGATCTATTGAAGTTCTTCCCTGTCCCATATTCGAATGACTTTCTTTTTTTCTGTAACTACTGTCCTGTAATCCTTTACAAAATGTTATAACTTTGAAGATATTGAATTTCAGCCCTGGCTGGTGTGGCTCAGTGAATTGACCACCAGCCTGCAAACCGAAGGGTTGCCAATTCAATTCCCAGTCAGGGCATATACCTGGGTTGCAGGCCAGGTCCCCAGCTGGGGGCACGTGAGAGGGAACCAATTAATGTTTCTCTCTTACATCCATGCTTCTCTTCCTCTTTTTTTAAAAAAAAAGAGATAAAAAAAGGATGTTAAATTTCATTTCTGTTTTATACAATTTTAGCTACTAGAAGTTCAACGAATGCATCGTTTGGCCAAATGTTAAAGCCGATATTTAACCTTAGATCAACATTTTTCATAAAATAAACTTCTAGGGCATAATGGAATTCCATATTGAATTTTCTTTTAAATATTCAGGCATGAGAACTCGTAAAATTTGATCGTCACATGTTGAAGGGTTAACATGACAGTGTGGAAGAGTGTCTTGGGCCGGCTGCCGTACCAGCCTTTTCCAGGCTCAGCTGCAAGACCAACAGGTGCTCATTTTCAGATGTTGCTGGAAGGACAAAACTGTTTAACACTTCTCACTCTTTGCTAACACTTTCTCCATTTATTCACACTTTTTATGTTCTGTATTACATGGATGGGAGATTGCTTATCTTTCATATTTTACACATGAGTTTGGAGACTTTTCTGTGTAAAACTTACATGTTCTCCATGAAGGCTCAAAACCTAAATCAATTTAACTGTAAATTAGATACATTTCTTATATGTTTTGTTCAATGTTATAAGTTCAAGTCATTGCAGAATTCCATGACAATTAGAATTATGATGTAAACTAGTTTCTCTTATTCTGCTTTACACAATTATTTACATTTTTATAAACCTTGCTGGCACAATACTCTTCAAGTTATTGAGCTAACACATTCTCAGTTTCAAGCTATTTCCATACACACATATATATATATATATAAAGATTTTATTTATCTTTAGAGGGGAAGGGAAGGAGAGAGGGAGAGAAATATCAATGTATGGTTGCCTCTCATGCATCCCCTGCTAAGAACTGGCCTGCAACCCAGGCATGTGCCCTGACTGGGAATCAAACCTCAATCCTTTGGTTCACAGGCCTGCACTCAATCCACTGAGCTACACCAGCCAGGACTATTTCCCTATATATTTAACTTTTTAAATGTTCTCTCTTTTTTAAAGATTTTATTTATTTATTTTTAGAAAGAAGGGAAAGGAAGGAGAAAGAGAAAGAGAGAAACATCAATGTGTGGTTGCCTCTCGCATGCCCCCTACTGGAGACCTGGCCTGCAGCCCAGGCATGTGCCCCAACTAGGAATCAAACTGGCAACCCCTTGGTTCACAGGCCTGCACTCAATTCACTGAGCTATACTAGCCAGGGCTAAAATGTTCTTAATAATTACTTCTGCACAGAAAATATATCTCCCATTCATCAATTTCTGCACAATTTTTTTCTTGCAATAAAAATTATGCACCTTTTTCCTTCAGCCGATGCTCAGGTACAGAGCTCATAGAAAAACACCCCTGCGGAGCATCTAAAACATCGATGTTTGAAAGGGAATGTGCCAGTATTAACGCAACACCCTAATTACATTCCTGTTGGCAATCTGGACACGAAGCTGGGCAGTTGCAGTAGCAGCCCCTGCAATCGCACACACAAGGTCAAGGGTGCCAGAAATGGTGTCGACACAAACATCTGGCTC